TGGATAATATCGCCCAGAACGTCTACAAATGTCAAGGACCTTCCAAAAATATGCCCCTGGGACCCGTCACCCTTTGCAGCATGTTTCGTCGTCTATTTCATGATGGCTGAGTCAAGTACCCCTAATCCTTCACTTGGTGCTACCCACTCAGCTGTCCAGAGTTCGCATTGAATGGAACTAATGCTCACTAAAGTTTCAGGCGGCCGGTCAGTGGACGCTAATCCCTTCACACTAGTATGATCTCCCTGCGGTGGATCGGATTGATGGGCTTTTGAGCCTGGTGGTGGTGATTTGCCGAGCCCGCGAAATCGAACCTCGACGTTCCCTTTTCCAGGTCGGTTCGATTCGACTTTTTCTCATCTCACACACTTCTGAACTAGTTTGCTGCAGAAAATCTCGTCGGTAATACCTTTTTTTCAGCAAATAACTAGACTCGTAGCAGACATTATCACAACGCCTAAAGAAATTCACGTTGCCTAGATATCATTTTCTTCTTCGATAGTAGATTGAAAATTCCTTCTATGGCGGAACAACGATGTAGGCTTATTTCCTATTTGGGACGTACTTGTGAACCATGGCACGCGTCTCATCACGTGAGTCGAAAATCAACGTCTTCTCTCCGCAATCTCTAACTTAACGTTCCAGCGCAGGCCGAATTCGCGTTACTGAAATGCATGAGTTTCAATCACATATCTTTAAGGGGGTACCGATGATACTCTTGGCATAGCAAGGTGCGCCACTGTCGGCTTTTGTGGACTGCTCCAGTTCTATGGCTGAGCCGAAAAATCCTTATCTTTCTTCAGTTTAGCATAGGTCATCATAACTATTGACTGGTACCATAGGTTGGATAATCACTGTATATCAATCGGGTGAGGTCTGTTAGTATGGTATCCGCGCACTGCGTATTTCTAAACTTTCTAGTCATAGAACCGTGTCACCATAATTGAGGGTCCATGTAAACAAACGGGCAAAATAATAAATAATTCCTCCCGCGTTCAACCGGAGATCAAGTCGATTTCAGAGCGCAAGTCTGTAGAGCTGGACTCCATTTATACGAACTTCCCCGTATGTCGCACATCTCATGGCCTCATGCTCTTTGCAGACGAGTTGAGTCTCTCGTGTCTTTGATCATTTCCTCTTCAAGACTTATTTGTGAGCGGTGGAGCTTGAGGTTTTCCTTTGCATACCATACATGTCAGGATGACTTCGGGTATAAGCTAACGGACCCTAGTTCTTGATTATGACGATGCAAGTAGCGTCTTCTTGCCCCAAATGTAATGCCGCTCGTGAGGTGCGTTTGATATGGAACATGGGGTGTGAGTACTGCTCGCTAACCAAGTACTTATTTACTATACATTGTAGAGCAAGTTTCGGGGTCCTGTACGAGAAGACAATCTGCTTATGGCCAAAATCTCATTTATGCAAGCTCCGTATATACCCCTTATTGCCTACCGTGGACGGCGAATACGGAAGCCAATACGTAGCTGCGTGCCTCATGCCACCAGACATGTAGACGCGTGTATGGAGCAAACCTCATTGTGATGGCGCTGGGTTTTGTGTAATAGGTTGTACCATGGGGTCATCGATCAGGGTACAGATCTTTACAGCAAACATGTACGTCCCTTTTCATTTATCCATTTCTCGAGGATTCTTGATTCACGATTGCCCAAGTTCATGCTGGCTGTCACGAAGGCTGAAGTTTGTGTTGGGATCCGACTGAAGTTTACTTAGCTCCCCAACCACCACTACTCTCGTACTTCTTATTACTCTATTCGTCGCATCAATAGTTCTCATGATCATGATATCCACCTCGGGACCTAGTGTTTCTCCGGAAAATCCAACGGCAAATTGGTTTCCAGAAGTATACTAGCGTAGGCAATTGATAATTACTTTTCTTGTAAGTCTTCAATTTAAGTAATCGATCGATCTATGTACTACGTTTGCTTTATGTGTAACTAATCCTATCCGTAGGGTCCTTCAGGTTAGGCCCTGCAGGTATACTAGGAAGATGGTTGTTAATTGAAATGATTACTATGAGACACAATTTTCGATTCGCGGAATGACCTGGTGTAGTTATCAAAGACGTCTAGTTCTCACAGCCAGACATGATGGCCATCCTCCCAACAGACTTGATCCCACTTGATCCGTTTTCCGAACAGCTCCAACGTAGCGCTTTTACTACACTTTCCAAATGGGGATATGCGTCACGTGATGCTGCTTATTGGTGCCGAAATTGAAAGGCGTCCCTGTGAGTTATCGAATCATACGCGATTCATTGGACATACTAGACAGCGACGAGGGTCTGTGCACAACTCTGCAACTCAGAAACGACGTTCGCGACGGTTTATGTTTGGTCAACAACGCCGGCACTGCCTAGCATCTTCTGGTTCCTGTTCGTTGCGCCAACGGCCCTTCTCGGAGAGGTACTCGGGAGAGCACGGGAAATCCAAGACATAAAAGAAATAGGAGCGCAGGCTCCTCACTGCTCACTAGACAATACCTATTCCAATGTTGAAAAGCTCACTCGTTAGCTCATACCCCCTATATCGTGCCGCGTCTTTCCGTGCTGGCGCCAGATTGGCTGGACCCACCCTAGCCTGCCGCGGCTTCATGACTGCGCCCTCCCGACAAAACTCTCTTACTGGTAAACGCGCGCATGAAGGATCAGTTTCAGGTACAGAGGGCCTTCATAGAGGTAAGTAATTGCTCATGATATTGCATGCATATTGGTAGACAGATATCTACACAGAGGACCTTGCGTCTGCCAAGAAGAACAAGGACGCATCTCCCGCCCTTACCAAAATGGATGCAGTCAGTACTCTCCCCTCCACCGTGCACGGCGATTGGGTCCTATTCCATCCGGTATACTCGGAGGAAGAACTCAAATCGGTCGAGGTGCGCTAATCAAGTCATGTGTAACGCCTCTTCTGGCTCACTTCGAGATTCCAGGTATTGCATCGAGAAGCAAAGACAATCTCCGACAAGTTCGCGTGCAACTTGGTCAAGATCACGAGGTAACATCATCTACTATTCTTGGGCTGTCGTAACCTGACACTCGTGTTACATAGATGGGGATTTGATTTGGCCTCTGGATACAAGCACAAACCTATCCCTCCCAACAGTAATCTAACTTTAGAGGAACTGAAGAAGGGAGGTTATATTTTAGACGAGCGCGGGTGGCTTCGTGTGAGTACTGTTTTCGCCGGTTTTGTTGTCGTTAGCTGATTTTCCCTCTAATCAGCGTATTCTGTTCCTGGAAACAGTCGCTGGCGTACCAGGTATGGTGGCGGCTGTGCTACGACATCTGGGAAGCCTTCGCCTTATGGTAATTTTCTGTCCCAGTCATATGAACGTTATTCTCAAGGTATTCACAGAGGCGGGATTCTGGTTGGATTCATACACTTCTGGAAGAAGCCGAGAATGAAAGGATGCATTTAATGTGAATATTGCTCACAGTTATATCTATCTTCAGTGATGGCTAATATCTTTAATGAAGGACATTCATGACATTGCGCAAACCCTCTCTTTTCTTCCGAGCAATGGTACTGGGTGCTCAAGGGGTATTTTACAACCTATTCTGTGCGTGGCTAGTTATCAGGTCTTCTCTCTCGATAAACTAATTGGGTATGCTTTAGTCCTATCTTATATGATTTCGCCTCGAACGTGTCACCGTTTCGTCGGCTATCTGGAAGAAGAAGCTGTTCTTACATAGTCAGTTCCTCTCTCATTTTATGTGTGGAGCGCTATTCCCTAACGACCCGTCAGTACACGCTGTATCGAAGAGATTGAGGCAGGTCGGCTCCCCGAGTGGACTGACTTATCTGCTCCTGAGATAGCAAAAGACTACTGGCGTCTTGCGCCAGATGCCAAGTTGCTGGATGTCATGTACGCCGTTCGCTCTGATGAATCTACCCATCGATTCGTCAACCACAGTTTCGCGAATCTGAATGTGAAGACGGATGTGAATCCATTTGCGCTTCGTGAACCGAACATGTTGGTCAAGGGGCGGAAGCTTGGGTGAGTCTGTGATATAATTGTTTAACGCAGCACAAAGTTAATAACCTAGGACTTAGATTTGAAAGAAGCGAAGCAGAAAAGTATGTTAAGGAATCACATGAACTCCTTCAGCAAGGAAAATCAAAAGCCGAGTAATTGATCATGACAATCCAAGTTATTATAGAAATCATAGATTATTATTTGCTCTTATCATCATCCTCACTCCGTCTCTCAACTTACTGTACATCACGAATAAATGTCAACTGTACCTACCTATATCACTAATTCAATCATGGAACTTTGTATGTTTGTTTCTAACTCTGATTGCGTCCATAACCCCTTCGGTTAGCATTGAGTTGATCGTGACATCATTTCCGCGCACGTGATCGATAGTAGTTGAGATCCTGGTACTACTGCACTTTAATTGTTGCTTTACAGTGAAGCGAACAGCATCAATGTCGACGTCGCAGCCGTCAAGGCAGTCCCATTCCATACTCTCAACAAGCAAAAGAAAAAACAGCCATGTTCATCACCCAAATCGGCGATTTTTTGTTGGACCAATGCCAGAGAAAGTCGTTTCACAAACCGAGGAAGATGTCGGGCGGAAGAAATTAGGCTGGTTTCATTTATCTGATATGATATCGACAAATGAAGATACAGATATGCCCCGAATGCTCGAGAGGCATGCCTTCCATCTCTTCGTTCGCCAGGGCGGAAAGCCTGAAGACTGGGGCGAACATGCACATAATACTGTACGCGAAGAGATATTGCAAAGGTGGAAGACCAGCGAGTGGGGCGGATTTCGAAAACGCAAAGTCAAAGATGGGAGCACCAGTCGGCGGTGGGTTGGAGGTAGCTTCCAGGTCGGGAGCTTCTTAGGGTTGGATGTTCTGGAAGAAGGTCTGGAATCGGTGGAGTCGTCGAATTCTGACATGGTCTCGGTGCAAGGATCTCAGGACACTTCTGAAAGGGCTACGGGAACTCATGCTGTAACGGCGTCTTCCGCGACTGGTCAGTCATTCATGACAGCTAGATCACAACTTACACCCGATGCTCAGGACGAAGAGTCGCATTCAGTCTCTCACTCAAGTCACGATCATAGTGACCTTTTACGCACAGATAGCGTGTCTTCAAGCACAGCTTTGTTGGTAGCATCAGTGACCCCCTCAGAAGAACCGTCAAACCTATCCCAGACGGACCGGCGCCCGTTCGATAACGAGCGTAATTCTGTGAGAGGAGCTGCAAATAATACGACGGACAAGAACCCTCGTCAAATTCGGTCTTCCTTCTTTAAAAGTAAGGACAGAGACAAAGGAAAGCAGAAACAAGTGCATTATTCCGATTATCAGCCCGCACAGCCCAGCGGCAGTCCCGCACCTCCTTCAGAGGTCCTTTCCAGAAGTGGGGATGAGATTGAAGGTACCAGCGCGGGTGCCACTTCTGGATCTGCCCCACAGAAGGAAAGTCGCTCAGATAATTTTTCATTGCGAGGTATGATATCCTATGTTGAGCGAGTTCCCATTTGTTTACGATTCTCAGATAGGATGCTCGTTAGAGTTATTCACACAAAATCACCCATAGTTCCTGTTGATTTTGACGAAGAGCAAAACCGCCTGACAGGAAAACTAGAACTTGAAAAATGGTCAGAATTCATGGTGATCTGGCAACATGGGCGTGTCGAACTTTACGAGGATTTTGTGCGTAAATTATATCCATATTCATATGAGCTATATATGACAACCTCCCTTTACTAGAACATTCCAGGAAAAGAGTGGGTTATTGGGCACAAACATCTAGCATACATAATCCCTCTTAAATCGACGAAGACCCGAGTATCACTCTACTCTTTCGTTGACCTCACTTTCTGCTTAACTTGCCCGCCCACCTCTATAAGGGATAATGGCTCAAAGGCACGCAAGCTACTCCAGCACCCAAAGGAAGGAACAAATATTTTTATATTCAAGCTCAAAAGTCGGACACGAGCGCTAGATTGGACTTGGCATTTGTGGTACGGCACAGTTCCTACCTAATAAATTTCGTCAGTGCCTTTGTTCTGACATCGCAGAAGGCGTCGGCTTGGCGGGAAATTACCTGCTCACTTCGAAATACATTGCCCAAATGTTGACGCAAGTATCGAAATTGATATACCCGTGGCAGATGTTGTCAACGACGACAAGACGTATATATTATTCCATCGTCAAAACATCATCGATTTGTGCCAAGAATCTCTATCGTCATTTCCAGAGTGGAAACACCTGATTGGAAGTAAAGCTATGGAAGAAACTTCGCTAGAGCTCGCTTGGCGTATGGGCACAGAGATCGACTGGGTCTGGCATGAGGAAGGCATAGACGGGAAACCTAGAGAGTGGGCTGTTGTATGCGGGCTCGCTCTGAAACAGGTATAACTCTTCATTGTATATGATTGCCTGCCGAGCAATGATGTTTCCCTGTTATCAGTCAGGGAAGGTGGCTAATCTCGAACTACGGCCAGGCGAGCATTTTCCTGGCTTTGTCCTTCTCAAAAATGGCAGGAAGCTGCACGAACCTGCTGCAGTGGAAGGATATTTAGATCGCATCAAGCCTAATAGCCAAACGAAACAACAAATTTACCTTGTATCTCATGACGGAAATCTATTTGTAAATACGCCTGCGTATGCTCACCCACCGTCGCCCCCAACTGTACAGCCTTCCCGTGAAAATCTACTGGAGACCGCAGCAGCTTTACGTTCAAGTGAAGTAAACAGAGGATCACTGCAAATAAAGGATGCCCATGGCGTTACTGACTTGAGGAACATCCGTGCAGTTCGTCGAGCCACTGAAGTGATCCCGCAGTACCGCGAACGACCACAATACGGGGAAGATATACCTATGGACGATGACCAAGAATTGGAGAGAACAGGAAGCGATATCGAGGATGAAGGTGGAGACGAAGGGCTATCCAGTTACGAAGATAAGGCTAGGCGAAGGATGAGGAGATCGTTTGAAATTGTCCTACTCTCAGGACTTGTGATCCGATTCGAGGTTTGCAGACATACGCACCCATCATCGATCAGTCTTCTAATGGACCTTAACCTTAGGCTTTTTCTTGTCAAACTTGTCTGGAATGGATCGAACGCTTGCGCTTATTGGTTATCTACTGGAGAATTCGCCATCGTACTGACGCTCAGGATGAAATGGAGATATCTTATTCGGGGAACGAGAGATTAAGGGTCACTCCACATCAACACGTTCATGCAAATGGTCAAGACAGATTACCAGAGCCTCCCGCAGATCCTGACTCAATTTTGCCAACGCTTGGTGCTGTATATAATTGGTGCGTACTAACCGACTGCAGGTCCATCCTCAAAGGGGGGAGGATTTTTACTCGAAAAGGCTTACGTGGGCAGTACAAGTATGCCTCCTTTCCTACCGTTACAGCAGCACGACTGAGATTCCACAGGTTGGTCCAGCTACTCCTTATTTCCGGACATCTTGTGCAGTATCATGTTACTCCCAAGTCATCTCTTCACCATCGTCGAACCAAAGATATCAATCTATTGGACGCATACGTCTGTTCAGGATACCTGGCCGCAATGTCATTGAGAAGGAGCGAATATAATCCAGGTACCACCACATTTGCACGACGTTATCAAGATGGGTTAGAAGCTGTTGATCTCAACGAGGATGTGATTTTCGTCATATGGTACCGGAAAAAAATACTCCCATCTTTGAGTCCTGAAGGCCTCTCCGGACAAACGAATATCCCATCACTATCTGCAAAAAAGAAAATAGCCGTGTTCAGAGCAAGAAGCAAAGTTGAGAGGGATGCATGGTGTTGGGCATTGAACTGCGAGATAGAAAAACTTGTGAGGGTACATAAAGACAGAGAAGAGCAATTGAGGGAAACTGGTGGACCAATGAAAGATTAGAAGATACGTAGTCATCAGCTTAGCTTTAACTTTCTTGTCAAGTAAAAGCTGCAATACAATCTATACGAGCATAACGCTCTGCACACACAGGAATTCTCTGGTTATGACTGCTATCTCATTGAAGAAATAGGATGAATAAAATCGAATCACCAAGAATACAAAGTAACTATTGATAAGAAAATACAGTATAGGAATACATCGTTGTCAATATGTGTCCGTTACTCGATAACCTCGTCCACGTCTTCATCACTGTCATCTTCTTCCCTGCGTAGCCTTCGGGCTGCGATCTTTACTTTCTTCTCCAGCTCCTTATCTGGTTTGAGATCACCTAAGGAAATTTCTTTGTTGCATCCTGACGCAGGGCACTTCTTGGCTTTCCTAGTATTTCCAAGGAACTCCCGGATGGCGTTTGCAGAGAAAGAATGTCCGCAGATTTGGCTGAGGCTAGAGTCAGTAGAAAAAGGTAGGTCGAATTAATAACATACGATGTAACTGGATTGATCAAGATGGTTAAAGTGATAGGACATTTGTAATCCTGGGTCATGCCACCCACTTCCAAATCGTCGTCGTCATCACTGTCGTCAGCATCCTCTACGATGAAAGGTGAATAAGGATGCGCGGGACTCTAAAAGAATGGGTACACTCGCCTTTCGGAATGAACTCGTTAATAGGAGGGATAGCTTCTCCTGGATGTTGAACTTCCTGTAATAACTGATGAAGTTAATGTGTGGTTTTCTGAGGTAGTACGGCTTACATATACTCCTTGCTTGAATTTGGTGTATCGCTCATTTTTACTGTATTTCTGCCGCGAAGTTTTCTTCCGGAAATCGTTCAATTGAGTTTTGACACCTTTTTCGTACATATCCAGTACCCCTTCCTATAGTCCAGTGTATTCAGAGATTGAATATTGAATAATTGCTTTTGTGCAACGTACAATAGCTTCTCCCTGTGATAGCCTTTGGTATATGCCATCAAGAGTTTCTTCATGAGATATCATTTCCTGTTCGATATCTAGCAAGTCCCTCATGATTATATCTACTTCTGCAAGAGCCTGTGACATAAATTAGAACCACAATACACATATGAATATTATGGGCGGACCTCTTCTGCTTGATCACCGTCCATTACATCTGCCAAGGAGATTGCCACGTCATTAACGAGGCCAAAAGAGCCTTGGTGTGCTTGCTTTCTAGTCATCTCCCAGTCCTGAGCAATACCATGAAGCTTTGCTCCGTCTTTGCGGTCCAGGGGCTGGTCCCGGAAATTCCTTACATCTATACGGTCATCATCTTCGTTATCATCTTCGACCTGAGGACCCCTTTTTTTCGCGTTTTTTTCTTTCTTGACAGACTTACGACGAGGTTGTTGTTCCTCTTCTGAAGAGGATCCCCCTTCGTCTACGTCGTCTTGTGTTGGTTGCTGACTGAGGCCATCTTCTTCGATTCCGTCAGATGAGGGTACCCTACGAGAACGAGCGCTGGACTTAAGACGCGACGAGCTGGCAGTAGGCATCTGATATATGTTTCCAAGAAAATGCTTTCAAGTTTGTGATAAGAACGCGAGCGAATATATGTAATGCCAGCCTAAGTGACAGTCGCGCGACCTCAGATAGGAATTCAGGGCAGGTCTCAGCGCGATTCAAGCAAATGCCTGCTCAGGTTAGGGTTACAATAACAGGTTCTCTTTCTAGTCTGATTCCAAGTCTGTCTCTTTGTCAAAATGCTCTCTGCTCTACGAGGCCTGTCTACAGGACTTTCTCTGATACCTCAGCTATGTCGGCGGGAATGCCTGCAGTCTCAGCTGGGCCCGTCGACCTCTTCATTACTTCGTTCGCGCCTATTTCATTCATCGCCATTGCTCGCAATGACTTTAAACCAGACAATGCGCCGAAAACGGCCTCAGAAAGTCAAAGCGTCTAAGTCACCACTCCTGGAAACTTGTCCGCAAAGAAAAGGTGTTTGTTCTCAGATATTCATCATGAAGCCAAAAAAACCCAACTCTGCCAAGCGGAAAGTCGCTCGTGTCAAACTTACTACCGGAAAGACCATCATGGCCTACATTCAAGGAGAAGGCCACAACTTACAAGAGCATAGTGTAGTCACAGTCAGGGGAGGACGAGCTCAAGATCTTCCTGGTGTGAGGTGCGTGTAGATGTTACAGTGTCATACACACCGATTACACATTCTAACACTATCATTGTCTTTCAGATATAAAGTCGTTCGCGGTGCACTGGACTTAGGAGGTGTTGTGAACAGAATGACAGCACGTAGTAAATATGGAGGTAAGTTAATGAAATAGTTTTACATTTTTAAAATACTTAAGATTGTACAGCGAAAGCACCGAAGAAGTAGAGTAATACAAAGTGTCAATTAGAAAGTCAATTTCAATTACTCATATTCTACTTCATGTGTGCTTCAACCTCTTCAACGATTTGACGCTTTTCGAAGCTGGCTCACTGTGAAGACACGTCATTACCAAGTTGCAAGCTGAATAAGTTACACTCACATCGATCCAGCCATTGGTTTGGCCTTGCCCGCCCTGGCCCTGTTTTTGTCCACTCTGTCCTTGTCCGCTTTGTCCCTGTTTTTGACCACTTTGACCTTGTCCTTGCCCACTCTGTCCTTGCCCGCCTTGTCCCTGTTTTTGACCGCTTTGTCCCTGTCCTTGACCACCCTGGCCCTGTCCTTCCTGGCCTTGGCCCTGTTTCTGACTGCCTTGGTCCTGTTTCTGCCCGCCTTGGCCCTGTCCTTGCTCGCCTTGGCCCTGTTCCTGCCCGCCTTGGCTCTGTCCTTGACCGAATACCTGCCCGTATACCTGTCCCTGCCCGCCCTGTCCTTGCCCGCCCTGGCCCTGGCCACCATGTACCTGCGTGGAGGGCTGGTTTTCCTGAGATTGCTGACTAGAGCCTTGCTTGGAAGATCCCCCATCTACAGCGGGGTAGGCATGCACAAAGGGGCAGAGGCACAAAGCCACGAGTAAAATAGTTGAGAAGTGCATTGTGGGTGTGAAGCGTTAAGAAATGAAACAACTTGCGCGAACTAACCAGACTTCTTATAGGTGGTGAGGTCACCTCCTAATTATATAGGTCCCCTGGCGATCTCTTGACAATCTCCTGTCGAGGAGGAGCTGTCTGCTCTGCCATGACGCTCATATGTCCTATTCTCGATCTATCCCTTGCCACTGCGCTTGCGGGACCTGGGTGTTGAAAATGAGTTATATTTTTACACTGTTTCCCAACCTGTAAGTTGGGTCCGCAGTCAATCGACACAATACTATGATTTCCTGTTTTGGCCTTTGCCTAGTTCAATTCAATCTGATCACCGTCATCTTTACTTCTATAATGATCACACCTTCGGCAGACTGGCATACTTGGTGCCACGGGCTCCGCCAAAATAGTGGAAATCAAACTGACCCGACGCCATATCGTCATCTAATCCCGCGATCGGCCAACTCGAAAGTGGACACAGTGTACTAGCATCTTTGGCTGCATGCTCAAAGTGGTCCAAAAACGCAGAATATTTCGCGGCCTTAATATACATGAAGAGGTGACAAAAAAAGGCACGTGGACACTGATGGGGACCAGGACCGTCACTGGCCGAGATCGAAGGAGTGGTGGGAGATACTATCATTGGTGGACGATGGCGTGCAGTCGGGATAGGGATCGAATTCGACGGATTAGTGATAGGAGATGCTGAGACCATCGCTGTGGATACTGGGACAAGGGACAGATTTGCATTGGACTCATCGATCCCCGAACGCGCCGTAGCCGCTACACAGGTCATGTATAATATAGCGCTTTCAACTGCGGAGTAAGCGCAGAACAGTATTACAGGGGACTTGGGTAGGGAAATGAAACAACCGAGTCACTGAGAAGGAGTCTGAGGTCTCGCTTCAAGCTATACGGTTTTCACAGTCTGTGGAGAAAAAAATATCATTTGTGCGAAGGCTGAGGTGATTAAGATTCTCATAAAAGGAGTACAATAGGAGAGTGAGCTTTATTTGTGCCACATACCTGGTACTCCATTCCACGACAAATGCGTGGGTTTCGGATGGGGAGACCACTGATCAGCCGTGATTTTTCCAAAACAAAACTAATCGTAGAACCAGGACAGGCGCCAGGTTGAATTACTTTATTCCACCACCGATTGTAGTCTCAATGTATATCCTTTCGATATTGAACTAGGCAAAGGCCATAATAGGAAATATTATATAATCACCACACAACGTGTGGCTGACCAAAATTCGCAAATTTGGGATTGGCGAACTTCAGCCTGAACTGAGGTCGACCGTTGCAATGTTTTCCGTTCTGCGTGCTGTACGCCCGCTGCGCTCCTTGCAACAAGTTCGATGGAACTCAAATGAAGTTCCTCTCATCAATCCCGCTGAAATGATCGCTGCGCCAGACCTCAAGTATCACCGAAAAGGCCAGCTGAGGAAACAACTCGATGTTGAAGTGGACCCGGGTCACGGTCTTTGGGCTTTTTTCAGGAAAAAAGAGATAAATGGATCGACTCAATATGAGACTATTGAGCCGAGGGATGCTATTGCAGAAGACACAGGTGAGTACACATGTTGTAAAGCGGACTTCAGCAGCATACAACCGACGATGATTTGTTAGGCAGATCATGGAAGGCAGTAGAGCTCAGGCGTAAAAGTTTCAAAGACTTGCACACACTGTGGTACCTTGTGTTAAAGGAGCGCAATTTGTTGGCTACCCAACGAGAAGAGGGCAGAAGAATAGGTGTTTCAAACCCAGGCGCACTCGCCGCGACAACAAAGATGCACCAGGTATGTAGAAAATAACTCTTTCATCTTGTGGTATTTCTCATGATTGAGTTTAGTGCCGCAAAACAATGGCCCGCATAAAGTTTGTAATCAACGAGCGCAGATTAGTTTTTGAAAAGCACGCCGAAGCTCTCAAGTTCGTAAAAACGGAAATAGCAGTAGAGCCGTCACAGAAGACACGAGCAGCCCCGAGGACTCGTGCTGAGCGAATGAAAGTAAAACGTCGATCTGGGATGCGCGGGAGCGCCATAACGACCGAATCCCTTCCACCGTCTCTTCCAGCTGCCACACCGAAGGCAAAAAGTTCATCTACGCCTTCTGACCTTTCCTCGCATTCATCCACGAAGTCACCTAGTTCACATCTATGACATACATTTTCTTAATAGTTGCACATAATTTTTAGTTGCGATTATCCATTGCAATATTTGAGAAGCGGGCTTGTGAAATCTTTGACGTGTGTATTCTTTCCAGTAGCACAGTCAGTCGATTGAAGAGTGTACACACGCATGAACGCGATGAACATCACCAAGGTCCTATGTATCACGTTTCGGCCAGTGTTCCTTCGCCCAGTCTCGCATTTCTTGGGACACCCAGCAATCTTTCACGGCGTGGTCTTCATACATTTCGATCTGCCGGCGACCGCGTCGTAGCAAATGTTCTATAGCTTCTACATCGCGTGGAGATATGGACGATGCTAGGATACGAAAGTTGTGCTGCACGAAGAGGCGAAACTTGGGTTGAGTTGCAGGAGGTTTGGTGCGGACCATGCGAAGAGCCCTATGATATAAAACCTTATTCAGACAGGCTGCGCGGATGTGAAAGAATTGTGGTCCATCTTACAGACCTTCTGTACAGGGACAGTACTTCTCGTTGAAGTCCTGATTTTGTCGACATAGCTTGGGGTAGGACTTGCGGACTTTACAGACTTCAGAAGTCACCGGGAGTGGGATCGGTTTATCGGGATATCCCGCAGAATAATTAGCCGAGATTAGCCGTCGGATCAGCACGCAATGCATATCCCGCTTGAAAATTGAACAAGTCCTCTCAAGTAGACTCAAGTTTGTCGCCGGGAAATACTCCAAGTTTAAAACATCATCTCAATATAGGCCGGCATATTCGAATAGCAAATACTCTGGGTATTGAAATATGCTGACGGGGCGGGTTCCATCATGGATGGCTAGGTTCAAATCAACGCGACATTCTCCTAGATGTCATTCCATGTCATCTCGCTCCTTGGCTACCTCCGCTGCAGGTACAGCTGACTCGTTCGCTTATTGCAGAGAATATGTTCAAAAACATGACTATGAGGGCTTCCTAACCTCGCAGTTCTATCCCAGGCATGTGCAGGGTGGTTACTTTGCATTGAAAGCGTTTTACGTGAGCGCCCACACTTTTGTTGCTCTTATTAGAACATAATTGACAGTGCTCTACATGAACTCAGGTCGAGCTTGCTATGGTACCAGAGTCTGTATCGAATACTGTAATTGGACAGATGAGGATGCAGTTCTGGCGAGATGCCGTTAAAGGTATATCCGATGTGCGCATATCGTTCTAATATCTATTATCAGTCATTTATTGGCAAGTTCGCATAGGGTAGACCTCCACAACACCCAATTGCGATGGCACTATATGAAACCTCGCAAAGCGTGCACTTGCCAGCGTACCATTTGAAAAGGATCATTGATGCACGAGTATGTACCAGCTTTTCTTCCAGCGCTATAGCAATGCTGAGCTGTTCTTAGGACAGTGAATTGCAAATGCCAACTCATCTCACAACAGACTCTTTGACTGCTCTTGCAGAGTCAACTTCTTCGACTTTGTTGTACCTCCTTCTGTCTCTCATGTCTCTGCCGTCATCTACGCTGTCACATGCTGCGTCTCATTTGGGTGTGGCTCAGACTTTTTCTACGCTCCTCCGCGCTTTTCCCTTTCACACCTCAAAAAACCGGATGATCATTCCTGCAGAGATTACGGCGAAACACGGGGTCAACCAGGAAGAGATCTTGAGAAAGCGCGAATCGACTAAGGACCTGGAAGATGCTGTGTTTGAATTTGCTACAATCGCAAATGACCACCTGATCACCGCAAGAGATATGTTCAAGGAGACTGGAGGCAGAGTTCCCCAAGTTGCTATGCCTATATTCTCTGCTGGAGTATGTCACAAACCATAGCCAATGTGATTTATCTAACAGTGTCTTAGATTCCTGTTGCATCATTCCTAAGACGATTGGAAACCGTCAATTTTAACGTGCTTCATCCATCCCTGCAAGTCCGAGACTGGAAATTACCGTGGCAAGTGTGGAGGAGTTACTATAAACGGACCTTTTAGGTTCCCCATTTCATTGGGCTTTTATGTCACCCTTTGATACTAGTCTCATAAGAGGGGTTCAGTAATATTTAGAGAAGTGTTTATTAGTATTAGAATGTTAATAGACCTTTTATCACACTCATGTCAATCGTGGGTGTTCTCCAGTTCCCTTCTGAAATGGCTGGTGCCAAGGTGGAAATGAGGTGTTGAGATTTTAGAAGTCCGATTTTGAAGCGTTCACGTCGGCCTTTCATCTTTGCAGACAACTACCATCGCAGTTGTGAGTCCAGCACACAGTCGAAGACGACGACGACGACGACGACGACAAAGACCTCCCATACTGTCCAGTAAGGCGAAGCTGTGTTGGCGTGCTCTTGAAGGCAGAGTCTGGGCATTACACGCAATTCATCGAACACCGACTAGTTGTACTCAGGTATCATGGAACGCCTATGTGGTATGTGTTTCATATTTAGCAATACAACGATTGTCCTTCACACGTTCCCCAGATGAAGTTATTCAATTGATATTCTACGAACTCAACGATCCATCCGCCTTGATTATCACATCAAAGAGATTTTATCAACTTTCGCAAGATCCCTATGTCCGCGCTCACTATTTTCTCAACCGCTATGGCCACATCCAAGCTATGTTCTGGGCTCTAGGGAGGGGAAGAGTTGTCAATGAAAGAGTAATCAATGTGTGTACCCATGTGCAACTTACCTTGCTCCTCTCACTGACTATATGCGCTATGGCAACTAGATTCTCATCACTAGCGGGGCCTCCATATCTCGATATCTTGTGCAAGTTGCTATGCATCATTATTTCCGCACATCAAGCCATTTCATTAAGACCACATGGGTTCGCTCAGTTCCGCTTCCAGTGTTTTCATATTTTATGAAAGTTACTTCGGACATGTATGGCAATATTCCAGTCGGAAAGGGGGAAGATGATGGGTCTATATTCTCATCATTCTTGAAAGAAAGCAGGTTCCCTCCTGATATGAAGAGCGTAAAATGGGAGGAAATAAGAGACATTCTACAGATGTATAAAGTAATTTGCCCTTCCTCCATGTTCACGTGATTCATTTTTGCTAAGCTCCGTCTAGTTCATTCCGTTTTGTATTAAGGTACGTTTGGTCAAGTCGCCCCAAACCTTTCCCTGAGGATGCGCAAATTACAGGACCCCATCATGGCACAATTTCCTATAGCACTAGCAATAGAGCCCCGCCTACTTCCACTTGCAAGAGCCAATGGGTTTGACATGGACCCTAAGGTAAGCTTTTGATTATAAAACAGGCATTACATACTTAGTCTTTTTTCCTACGTAGTATCGCGATTTTGTGTTCCGCAAAATTTTCGAAAGGCCTGCCGTAAACAGCGAGGGTAGAATGGAGGATATAATTCGCAACGTTCGTGAATTACGACGGCTAGATCCAAGGTATGTTTTACAGTACATTCATCGATATCAAGTTGATACCAAGTCCACATTCTATTCTTTATTTCCTTGATACAGGATGTTCCTTAGTCGAACAGTTGCAGCCGAAATATGTATGGAAGCAAAGAGTAACGAGCCATCCTACATTGCCCTTAGGAGATTGGACCGTGCAGGAGAGCTACTGTTTGAACTATCGTACGTTGTCAATTTTGTGACACCGAGCAGTGACAGATAATAATTCAATCAACCGTAGCACACTTGTAGAGGACTTGATCAAGGTAAATGCTACATTTCCAATACCGAAAATCTGTGTTCTCACTATTCTCTAGCTATTCGTTAAGACGCGCAGCATAACGTCGGTTCACACTATTCCAGTACTTCGCCAACTTTATACCGACTTCCCAAGCACAGATCCCACCGTTCGCTTGGTACTGCTCCTTACTGTCTTTCTCTCTGATACCTGTCTTGCACATACTACTCCAACGACACTGAGAAGTAAACTCGAGCCTCTGGGTTTAATTCCTCTCACGAAGGCCGACGTATTTAATGTCTTGACAAATCCATTTGTGGAGAAGCATGGTCCTATCCTAGACTTTGCGAAGGAAGAAATTGGGTTGAGCGACAAAGATTTCAAAGAGTTAGTCCAAGAAGTTGCAGTCAAGTGCCTTGAAGTAGGCTGTAAGGTGAGATCCTTACACTTTTCACTATATGTGAACTAAATGATAATAACTATGTTTGCTTAGGGCAAAATGCTGAAGAGGTTGCATGATAATTACCCTTTTCTCAATCGACTTCTCGCTGAAGTTGTTGTACAACGCTATCAGCTAAATCCAGATGATTTACCCCCTCACGAGGATGAGAAGGCGTGTTCAGTATACCAAGCAAAGCTTTGCCGTGACTATGTAAACCTCAAAGTACCTGAAGACGCTAATGTCGTTTCTTCAAGTGGAGAACCTGTCGCTGAGGTAACTCTGCTGCCTGATGGCTCTACAAACGTAGATGATGAGGTGGTGCTAGACGTACCGGAAGACGATGATGCTATGGCTGTAGATGAAATTTTTGACGGAGGCGAGCCAGTAGTAGGCGAATACCCTGAACTTGTTCGTGCATAACTTGCGCAGAGAATGTATTGTTTACTGATGTGATATCTTGATTGATTATCAGGGACGTATCGGACAAGACACCTTATCAACTATGATAAGACAAGATGAACTGGCACCAAATCGCTCTCGTGGCAGAAGGTCATTTTACAATTACCCCTATTATGCGGACCATGCGGGGAAACTGCAGTATCCTTCAGGTAAGCGACAGAACTTAAATTGCCTCGCGCCCTTTTTGACACGTTGATAGACCCAATGCAAGTCGGCCGCTGGATCAAGGATCGCTATCATGTTCGCAGCCGCGTGATGGCTATATTCATGACCCATGCAGTCGTCAATGATAATACTGGCGTAAGGCAACTTCTTTTGTTTTGTAATTATTGTATCTCATTATCTTTCGGAACAGATTTTACAGACGTACCTCACTCATGCAAATGGTAGTTACTTATCCACGACACCCCAGTCATGTCATGTTCCAGTGACATTGAAACACTTCAAACTTCTCGCACGCCTGGGGAAAGCACCTGTAAGTTATTTTGTGTAGTTGTGTTTAGCTTGCTGAGACAATGCTACTAGAGCTATCTACTCTATCACGACATCGAAACTGGCGCTGAATTTTTCTTCAGCGAAGAGGATTATCTGTCTAAACAGACTGAATTGGAAGCAAAGAAATCGAGTCATCAGAGGTCTAGAATCAAGGCAGAAGTTAAGACAGAAGGATCACCCCCTAGTATCCCGTCGTCGGCTGCGCAAGCGGGGCCGCCTAAAGCAGCATCTCCACGTCCACAGAAGAAAAGGCCTCGTCGTTCGGCAGCCGCATCTGTCCGATCTTATGCTATCCCGGACTCGGACGACGAAGCAATTGCTGAAGAGGATGACGACACTGTTGAAAATGCTTTGATGACCCTGCAAGCGAAGAAAAGAAAGGTCGAATCGAATCTTCAGCGCTGGATTAAGCATTTGGCTGTTCTTCTGAAAGATGAACAACGAAAGGTGTGTTCAGAGCTAGTTTCTGCACTCATGATTTTGTTCATCAATTTCCATACAGTATAAGGAGAAGAAGAAGCGTTTGGAGAAGTGCGCGCCTCCGGATGGAAAACTTCGAGTAGCCAAAGTAAGCGCATTTTTCACCTTCTATAATCTTTGTATCTAGATATTAAACATGCATATCATGCATCTAGAACGAGTTTTTCAAGTCAGTGGCTGCTCACCTTCGAACATTGCGGAAATTAGATCAGGAAAAACGTAAACAGCTTTATGGCCCTGATGCTGGGGAAGAAGACTATACCGAAGATGACGATGACGACGATTATCAATATCGGACGAGCAAAAGACGCAGAACAATGAACTGACTTTCAGAGGAACAATATTAATACTTTACTTATTTGACCATTCTCACATCCCACTAGCATCATTCCACCACATACTATTCTACATCTTCGATTAGGAATGTGTAATCCCTAGCTTCATTTGTGAAATACACGTGTAATGTCTGAATCAAATTCTAGTTTTGTACTCATAACATTACAGCTGATATCTATAATGAATCGACCGGTCCCCAAGTCTCAACTTTTCGTCATCGGACTCGCAGACCTTGTCCTCGCTGAGGATATGATCCCTCCTGGCATTCTCCCGTGACATACACAACCATAGATAAGCTGTGACTACAATCGCAAAAGCAATGTATCCAATGGCAATAATGTTGGGCATCCGGTATAAGTGACCAGCAAAATTGGGCCTGTAAATCAAAACACCTGCAATGGCTCCTATATCCCCAATAGTGATCTGCATGGCCACAGCAACAGCTCTTTTCGTCTGTCCTGCAACATTTTCGCCTGGCCAGCTAAAGAATTGTAAGATGGTAATCTAAGTATCCTGAGCAACAAAATTAACCTTAGCACCAAGGAATTAGCCGTATACACGCCCGCTAAATTCAATTCAACGGATGTCAATGTTATGGAGTTTATCGTTGGTGGCTAAGGGCTTTACCAGTTGCAAGAAGTACACCAAAATATTGAACACCAGCTGCAAAAGGGATTACAATTTTAGTGCAGCGTATTCAAAATCTCAAAGCTTACGGGTAGTAGTCGCGATCAAGATGATATAACCTACAAAATAAGTCATATTTGCAGTTGGAAGGGCAAAAGGAGGATGTACCGATGATCGCAAGGACACCAGATGCTATAATGAAAGGGGCCCTGATATTGTTTTTACTTGACAGCCAAACAGCACCCCATATAGACAGAGCAGCCAGCGTGTTTGGAGGAACCGTCATACTTTGAATAACAGGGCAATTGAAGGATTGCGGGCGGGGAGGGAGAAAATGTGCTTACAGCTGAGCTTGCCACGTTTGAAAGCCTAATCCAGCAATGATGGTGGGCTGGGCAACATACGCATGTTAGTCCATGCCAAACAAAACGAAGCAGGTCGTCCGCACCAAAAACAGACTTAGGGAATATAAAACGAAGGAAAAGCCATGAAACAGAAAAGCGTATGCCCATACAAGATGGTCTGTCAAAGCTTGACCGACAGAGAACCAACTGAAGCGTTCTTTTGATCCCGCATCTGAGTCCGCTTGCAATCGAGCTAGCAAACGTTTGCGTTCTGGCTCGGTGAGCTGTCAGAAGGCAGGTTAATGACAAGTATCAAACTGGGAAAACAATAACTCACAAATTTCGCTTTGTAAGACCAAGTCGGAACGATAATATATGCAACGAGAGAGACGAACACTGTGATTATGCCCTCCAAAATGAATATCCTGTTTGTAGTCAGCCAACGAAGCTGACAAAATGACAAGCCCCACCATTGCCAGCCTTTGCGCCCACCCACTCCATCCATATAGCCTATCGCGTATGCGAAGATGCCTTAACAATGGGTCTAGGTCATCGATTCTAGCCATATAATATCAATAGCCCGATATACCTCCAAAAGCACCCGCCAAAGCTGCTCCACCAAAGAAAATAGCAACTCTCCAGCTACGCTCATGCCTTTATATCATTTCAAGTGTCAGTACTTTGCCAATAAGAATTAGAATTACGAGGAGATTTTACGCGCCTACGATAATACACGGAGAAGAGATAGATCACTCCTGGAAAGATACCCGCTTCCGTCATTCCGAGCACTGCCAAACAAGCCCCTTAGCTCATGCAAGATACGAACATGTGGATTGAAAGGTCGCCAACAAAATCGAACGCCAAATAGTCCTGCCTGATTAGTGACAAGACCTTGACTTATCGAAACAATCCCCCATGCAAGGGTCAGCGAGGGTAGCCAAAATTGAGGATCAAAGCGCTTCAGTCTAAAGTAAGAATGGTTGACTTTAGATGAATCAGTACAATCTTAGATAAATGACGAAATTACATGATCTGTTCATATGGTCAATCATAAGTTAATGCATTTCATAGATGCACAAAAACGAACATTCGAGGGTATTTCAAAGATCACGTAGCCAACGAAATATATCGCGAGGGAGGTATTGTATCCTGGTGCGGAGAGATTGAGGTCCTGCATACACAAATCATTATAAAACAAAATCGGGTGTCGCGTTGATACCGGAACATACAGTTGCCAAACCATCAACCCTAGAGCGAATCAATGCCACTGCATTTCAGATATGGTTACTTGCGTAAAAGGACGAGTAACTGACTTTGCATTCCCAATATTTGATCTGTATATTCAGATCAGCACTTGTGAACATCATTTCAAGCCGTAATGTTTACCTGTCTAAGAAGCTTAGTAGATAAAGCAAAGTCAGAACCGGTAGCAGCCTAAGATCAACTTTGCGGATGATCCTTCGGTCTTCAAGAGAATAGAAGTCATCATCAATGGTCGAACGTTTGTCTGACTGTTTATCTGACGAGGACATGTCTTCGTTTCTCAATTCTGTTAGAAATAAGAGCACAGCGCCTACCGTGTCTGCAAGACGACGGGACTATATCTTATACTAGTTACTCCTCGTCCTGATACGCCACTGCTTCTTGGGATGGCGCAATCGGAAATTGCTTTGAGTGGGTAGATTGGAGAGTGATAAAAATACTAAAGACACACGCATGACACTTTGTCCATATGAAACTAAATGTACACGGAAACACTTGCTGGTATATTCATGTCGGCCCATGAGCGCGCGACCAGGCGGCAATTCGATAACCAGGATTTTGAACTGGCGGACTGACATTAGAGACCCGCGAACATATGAGAATGTGGCGTGGGTAATTAGATCATCCTTTGTTCGGTCTCCGGAAAGCTCAAACTCGGACGAACTGAACCTGCGGCAGTGTCTAAATCATGGAGGGCTTATTCTTCAATGTAAGTCTTTTGGTCATCCGGAAAAAATGATCTCACAGTCGCCATAATCTTAGGTCAACAGTGGTTTCTTGGAGGGAATCGTGCGAGGCTATAAGGCTGGCATTTTGTCGCAGTCACAATACGCTAGTTTGACTCAATGTGACACGTTAGAAGGTATGTAAACCTATCATATGTTTAGTATCTTTCCTCATGGATGTTGTAGATTTCAGGACTCAACTATCTGCAACTGATTACGGGAATTTCCTGGCAAATGAACCCTCGCCGCTTTCCACTGCAACTATTGCTGACAAGGCAACCCAAATCCTCGTCGACCAGTTTAACTATATTCGTACCAACGCAGTCGAACCATTGAGTAAATTTCTGGATTACATTACGTATGTTATATCTCTTTTGTGCAGGCCAATCCTTTGATCCCGTTACGGCTGATAGATATGGGTATATGATCGATAATGTCGTCCTATTGATCACCGGCACGTTGCACGAAAGAGACACACATGAGTTGCTAGAGAGATGTCATCCTCTTGGGGTCTTCGATACGATGCCTGCTCTCTGTGTCGCTACGAATGTGGAGGAGCTGTATCAGGGTGTTCTCGTCGAAACACCACTAGGTGCGTTACTTCCTCGTGACCTGCGAGTCTCTCCCTAACGACTCTATTCATACGTTCAGCCCCCTACTTCCGTGACTGTCTCTCTGCATCCGATCTGGACGACCTAAACATTGAAATTATTCGTAACACGGTGTATAAGGCGTATCTCGAAGATTTCTACCGCTTCTCTACGACACTTGGTTCACCCACCTCTGACGTCATGCAAAGTATCCTCTTTTTTGAAGCTGATCGTCGCACTATCAACATCACCATAAATTCCTTTGACACAGAGCTTTCCAAGGAGCAACGCTCAAAGCTCTTCCCTGCTATTGGTCGACTCTTTCCCGAGGGCAACAATGCATTGGCGAGAGCAGACGAGATCGAGGATGTACGACAGGTCTGCGACAAAATATCCGAATATCGGTCTTTCTTCGACGGTGGTTCCGGGTTTGGTCAGAGCAATGGGGACTATCAGGATGCTGGAGAGTCGAACATTGCAGCTCGGCTGGAAGACCGGTTTTTCCACACCGAAGTCCATTTGAACAAGGAGGCATTTTTGCAACAATTCCAGTACGGAGTGTTTTACAGTTACATGAAGCTAAAGGAGCAAGAAATACGGAATCTGACGTGGATTGCAGAGTGCATAGCTCAGGATGCGCGGGACAGGATGCAGGACTTCATACCCATCTTTTGATGTCAGATATTCTCGTATAATATTTCATTCATTTGCATCTTTTATGGTGAACTTGATATCATGATCAACGTCGTTTGTTTTCCCAGAATATATGAAGGCTTGAAGGAGCTTGAAGCTTAAGAAGAGTAGGCTTAATGTTCTAAGAAGAATGTCACCAGGCATGATAGCTACCTTACAGTTAGTCAGAGCTACTTTGGCACGACGGAAAAAAGCATCGGGTTTAGATTCCAAGAAATACAGCCTAGCATAACACATTATTATACAAGAACCTCAGACGTTACTGGGGTAGAATCAGCGATAGCCTTCCCATCGACATTGTCAACGATTATTGGTTCGTGCTTCGCGTTATCAGATATCACAGAAGCATGAGATGATAGCTCTGACGGCGTGCTTAAGCCATTCTCCTCCACTTTCGCGTCGCCATTCACTAAGGATTCACTATTTACCTTCGCTTCCTCTTCCAGCTTCTTCTTCCTTTCATCCATCCATGGTCCAGCACCGCTGAAGTCACATCCACCCTCATACTCGCACCGACATTTGCCGCCTAATGTCTCTGGCAGGTTCTCAGCATCAACGAGATCCAGCAACACCTTCTGGTAGTCTGATCCCAATACCTCCACCTTATCTACAGTCTCTTTTGAAAGCCATGGTTTGATCATTGACCAGATGAAGGTGAAAGACGATGGTGCATTGACAATGGCAAGCTGACCCATCCTGTTCTCGCCCCAGTAAGAAGGATATCAATTAATGGCGATATCATGTGGCTTACGTCTCAGGAAAGTAATCTTGCGATATTTGGAATGAGTCTCGCGCTAGGGACTTGACTTGCCAAAACTGTGAGAGGCTAACACGATGCGTCAACGGTCGAGTAATACGTAAATACCCATTACACCTGTGACTTACCCGAATCCTTTCAGATCTACAACCACAAATGAGGTTTCTATGGGCCGACCCGCGGCATGTGAGGCAGCTGGTAAGATTTCGCGAGGCAGAGAGTCAGCATTAACCACTATGGCTTCCCAGTGTTTCTTGGGAGTAATATGCTTGTAGAGTTCTGGTAAATTTAAACCACCAAAGAACTGAATATTCAGGGGGCGACCTTTCTAAGGAGTGGATGTCAAAAGCTGGCTGAGATGATAAATATATCTACCAACTTTGTCTGTCTATGAAATGGCTAGTTTTAGATGGAAAGCATAGGGAGGTGCGCTGAAACTGCATACCTTATGGAAATACATCGACCAAGATTTGAATACTTCTTCACGTCCCGGGTACTTGAGCAACGTAAGTTCTATAAGAGTGTTTAACTTTACGAAATTAATGAACCTACATCGAACGGATCGATTTGTTTGTATAGCTCATCTATACCTATACCCGAGACAGTCTTTCGCCAATGCTGACAGTTTTTGATCATCTTCTTGGACTCGCGAAGGTCAAACTTACGCGCTCGAAGGAAACGTCTGAAGATGATAGGAATCGTCAACGTACTATACCGTTATAGAATATGGATGGTAGCTACGCACAATAGTGTTCCGTCATCTGTCCCGATGGAGTCCCCTTCCTGGAGGATACCTTCTTCGAACAGCTCTCTGCGAAACGTTTCTAGGACCTTTTCTTGCTCACTGTCCGGCAACATGGCGTGACTCTAAATGTAGCAAAGGTGGCTCAATTATTAAGATCCGTTTTAAGAATGTAGGACTGGCGGCCTCAAATTTGGCAAGAATGGACTGGGATGGGATGAATGGATTGTTATGAAATGCAAAAGGGCAAAACTGTGTGGACAGCTACAAACTCGTGCTGTGATTGAACATCGGTCTCAAACCGACAATTGTCCCATTGGGAGTGATCAAGGCAGTCCTTTCACTGTTTCAGTGACACCCGCCGGGATGCGTCAGCTAAATATCAGCACGTGACCGTTTCTTAGTCACGCGTACTGACTTGGTTTCTGCTCTCATGATAACACACGACGGGCAAGTTGGCTGTCACCTTACTGAAACGGCGGAATAGCATTAATCTCCAATAGCAGACCAATTGTGTGTATATATGATAACCATTGCCCTCTGGGGTAGACCTGGCCCCGGCTGTGTCCAGATCACACATTACAGTTAACATTTTGTGCGGTCTTTACAGCAATCACAGAGCAAACGTACAATGGATGCAAGAGTGAGTAGCACCAAGGTAGCCATGTGACAATAGACGGAATGAGCCAAAAGTGCGAGAAAGGAAAGGAAGCATAAATGTAAATGAGTAATGACTAGAAGGTCCTTGGAAAACACAGCGGACATTTGTGCTTTGGAAACCTGGAACCTACAGGTCCAAGAATAGTTGATATATACCTTGTATAAGGTCTGCTCCACGATAAGGGTGGCACACAGGGAGCCTCCCTTTGGTGTCAGTAGTACCATTTTGATGGCTATTTTATACAGTTAATTCCTCATACAGTGCTCAAGAAAAATGAAATAAAATAAAGTAAAGTAATAACAGTCTTTCAAGGCACAAAAATGTTGCCTGAAGTCAGAACACCCAGGAGACTATCTCAATCAGAAAGTAGGGAGCTTGATGATATTCTGGGCACCATTCAGGATGCCAGGTGACTTTCTTGATCAGTTATTTTGTTTAGATGTTATGCACAGCTCTCCACCTGAAATTTTTGAGGACCATTTGACCACTATGGGATGCTTCAATTATTCCTTGTATCAGGGTCTGGTGTTAAAGGGTGAGCCAGGTTGAGTCTATGGCTTGAGGCCCATTAGTGAACATGTAGAGTATCAATAAAGATGATATTTTATTTGCTATCTACTTTACAACTGGAACCATTCAGTGTTAAGTTGTGCTAAGACTTGTTGCAGAGTTAACAGCCAAGCAACAATTGTTGGATATTTGGTCCCTCAGGGCACGGGAACAGGCATGGGAGAAGGATTCTTTTGGCAAACGAATGCCGTAACAACGTAAATACATGCTTCTTATATAACAAACATATGTAAATATCATGTAAAAAACAATGATAGCCACAAAAGGCCGGTTGTAATCACAGAGTAAAGCTTTGGGCGAAGCTCCAAAGTTCACTTACGTAATATAATTTCTACAACAATCTGCTGAGTGATGCTGGGGTGATGTAAGGATCATTTTATTATTTTCTTATCTTCTCTATGTCTTGGTTCTCGAACACCTTTCCCATTACACCTCTGGCTCTAGGGCTAGAGGTATCATTTGCCATCTTACTTCTCATAGCCCTCACAGGCTTTCTTAACCACCGTTACCACTTTATATCACAGATCAGAGACTGGGTATCACTCCCAGCCAGCCAGCACAATGGGTAGGGACTGGTAGTAGGCATCTTGCCAACCAGCTCCAAGCCCCATTAAGGCCTGGATATACTAATAAACACTTTGATCAGGATTGTACCTCATCATGAGGATACGGTTCCTGAACACGTGTGACAAACATCTATTATTAGTACAATTCTCTCACCCGCTGATTAATCAAGTTAAAGTCGTACAATAGTTGTTCTGTTTTTCTTATTGGACAATTTATTCCTCAGACCACTTTTCGTTTACTCTCCTTTCGGTCTGGGGAATGGACAGTTAGCTATATAAAGCCTTACCTATTCATGTATAGTTCCTTAGTTTTATATTACTGAATTTACCCGCTTTACTCCTCAACCGAAACCCTTGAGTTTACTCCCAAGTCCTCTACCCGCTATATTTACTAGCGTCTGTCGACTTCAAAGCTCATTGAACCTCTTACTCCCTGCAAGTGCAGTAGGAGACAGGTTTTGTTTTTGTTATAGTTCATTGTTGCCTCACAGGTGATGGCTTTGACCAAAGGGTGTAACAACCAAAGGGTGTAACAACCAAAGTTTGTATACTCTGGCGCACAACAAGACAAGCAGAGAGGGGTGAGTGGGGGAGAGGATAATCTCCCTTATAGTAGGACCAAGTTTGTTATGGGTAAGTAACAGGAGGACTCACTGAGGAGTCTCCTTGATCTATTGGGGTATATATACTACTACATGCTATTTGTATATGTATACTATACAGTTGATGAAGGCAGTGGCTGATGATGTTATAGGGCACAGCCCATGTGACCAGCTCCACTGCGTAAGAGACTTGTATCTAAAATAAAGGACAGCAGCACAGTGCAAGAAAGTGGAGTTTGAACAAAAGGAAAGTCCCACAAGGTACAGTGTGTGAAAATAACAAAAGTTAAAGTGGAGAGTGAAAGTTAAAGGTCCGAAAATTGTGTATTGTAACACTACCCCCCTTCTAAGGCTCGACTTCCAGGCTCGACCAAGTACGGAGGTAATAGTTAAATTTTTGGGCATAGGTTGAAAAAGGGAATCACAAAGGTTCAAATCCATGCCTCTAAGCTTCCTAGGAGCCGAGGGACTCTTAGAATCAAATTCTCGAACAGCATCGCAGGAATTGTCCAAATGGGGTTTCGGTTCCCACATTCTGTCCTTGTCTCCATAGCCCTTCCGTAGGACTAGAAATTCTAATTTTCCACGCTTAAAGCGTGCATCCACCACCTGTTCAACTTCAAATTCTTCTTCACCTTCCTGGGTGACTACCACTAGTCCAGGCCGGTCTACGTGCTGTCCCGGCAGCGGCCCTTTGTAGGGTTTCACACAGCTAATATTGACCATGGGTACTACACTCATTCATTTTGGGAGTTCCAGCTCCACCACGTTGGGTTTGACTTCCTTAATCCGGTAAGGACTAATCCACTTTTTGGTCAGTTTTCTAGGCTGCTGATCTTTTAATTTTAAGTGGTTGGTATCTAACCAGACTAGGTTGCCAGCCTCCAATCTTATACTGCAATAACCAATTGGCAATTGCACTATTAAAAGACAATGACAATCAGTATCACGCAAGGATGAAGCATATCGACATATAGTTGCATTTCATATGTCACGCTGTCATGCACTAAAGTTGATTGGTAGCATGGACAGGTGTCAATAACAAAGCGAATATACAAAAAGACTCGCCTTTGCGCCACACAGGCACAGTGCCACGTGGAATAGTAATTAATATTGCCTTTTTCGAACTTGTGGCTAATCAGCACCACCTCTATTAGGCAATCCAGTCACGCTCACCTTTGCTTCTCCATTCGGTACTTTCGGCATTTCGGCATTTCGGCAAATTTTCGCGTCGCCACTGGCTACACATTGCATTGCGCCCTCGCTTTTGTCGTTTCCCTTACTCCCCTTCCTTTGCCTAGCCCCACCATGGGCCCCTTCCTCTCCTTTTTATTCTCACCTGACGGTCGTTTCTGGATCCCCATTCTAATCCACTTTTTCGTCACCTCCACCCTCCTCCTCATCTTATTTGCACCCCCACCATTTCTGATGTCACCACTTCCTATCTGCTTCCATCGCCGATCCGTTGACTACCACGTGCCACTGCTGATATCAGCAAAGCCCCGGCGGCCGGTCCAAATAGGGCAACAGGTCCATCTTCATGACGTCGATCTACCATCATATACTATCAAAACATTGGTCGCTCGTCTTGCCTGGTTGGAGCGTGGGTGGGTAGTTTTTGAGCTGGAGAAGGTTCATCCCCTTGCGTCACCCATATTCATCGCTGTCCCATTCACTTGGGTACACTTATCTTTTGTCCATCGTCTTCGCTACAGCTACACCTACCACATGCTGCCTGGGTGTTCCAAATTGGAACTACTCCTCTCCCTCCCTCGTTTGACCAGGTGGTCCAACATAACCAGTCCATTGGTAAGGCCATGGAACTGTCGGATTTGGACTAGGTGGTGGACTGGTGGCTCTAGTTTCTTTTTTTTCAGCAGAACATTCATTTACAGTGCGATTATTTTTGATTTTTGAATCATTTTTATGGACACATATTTTTTAGAATGTCTGACTGACAATAAAGGAACTGTGTTGATACTGATAGTGTTTTGCCTTGCCCTTTTTTTTACTGCATCTTCCCATGACATCATGATTTTCCTGCTCTCTTTTTGCTATTGGACTTTACTTTATGGCTGTACAAACCTGTGACATTACTCACAGCATTTATTGTTCTATCCCTTTCTTTTCCTTTTTTGACAATCTTATCCTGTACTACCTACGCAGGATTTGTCAGCGTACATTCCTTCCTTCATGTTCTTTTTCATTCTTTTTGCACAGCTATACTGTGCATAGCCTACTTTTCTTTTACTATATAAACCCCTGTATTTTACCTCTTAAAAAAAAAACAAGTAATCCAATCCAGACTTCTTCTCTACTCTCAAGTTCACTACTCTGCTACTTGTGATCCAGTGTGGTCACAACACTTCCCACTTCTACCACTGTTAACTGCTGTCATCGTTACTCGTCACTTTTTGAAAGTGATTGTCATCCCCTTTGATTAGAGTCCTTCTGAGCACTACAGTTTGTGCGTCAGGAGCCTGCTATCTGTGAGGCAACGATAAACTATAACAAGAACTAAACCTATCTCCTTCTGCACTTGCAGGGAGTAAGGGTTCAATGAGCTTGAGGTCGACAGACGCTATCAAATATAGCGAGTAGAGGACTTTGGAGAGGTAAGCTTCAAAGGTTCTTGTTGAGGAGTAAAGCGGGTAAATTCAGTAATAGAAAGCTAAGGAGCTATACATGAATAGGTACGTCTTTATATAGGGAACTGTCCGTTCCTCAGACCGAAAGGAGAATATACGAAAAGTGGTCTGAGGAATTAATCAACCAATAAGAAAAAGGGAGAGTAACTATCGTACGACTTCTGGCTTGATTAATCAGCAGGTGAGAGACTTGCACTAATAATAGAAGATTGTCACGCGTGGTCAGGAACCGTATCCTCATGATGAGGTACGATTCTAGATAAGGCGTTATTAGTAT